GTTCTATCGTGAACTAACGTAATATATAACACTTTTGTGAATTATTAGAAAGATATTTTCGCGATACACTGATAACAGAGGTGGACAACGGCGCGCTATTCCACTAGTCCGCCTCTTAAACGAAACAGTGCAATAGCTACTCTGCTACTAACCAAACAGCTATTTCGCTACTCCGTTAAGCAGCAAACTTGCGGAATATCGCGCGCTATTTTCCATCTCTGATTGATGCGATAGTCGTGAATCAATGTCTGAAGCATACAGATTGTAAGCAACCTACTGCAAGTCATAGCAAAAAAAAATGAATAAAGAGTAAAATGAAATTCCACGAATACACGATAATGTGCTATCTATCGGTTCAGAGCGACCACCAAACTTTGACTTATTAACAATAGAGATGAATTAACTGAATGATGTATTGTGATATGACTGACTGAGTTAAAACAGAAATATAAGAAAACAATTCTAAAATTAAGTGCTTACATGCAAAGACGATATCATTAACTATACTAACAAATAATAACGAATACACGATAAATACAAAAGCAGACGAATCAAAATGAATAATCTGATGAATGAATGAATGAATATTTGCCTACTAAACTGAACAAATTCCAAAAATAAATGAATCTGACAAATTAATTCTGATGAAATAAAACAAAACAATCGGTTAATAGACAAATCGTAACACTGAACGATGATCATTGAACCCGTTGTTTTAAATGATTTTGATGGGTGACTGACTTTTTGATGTGTCACTTTTTTTTNTTTTTTTTGAAGAATTAAATATAAACGGATTACAATGATTATTGTGAGATATAAAAAACAGGCTCGTACCGAAACGGGGAGTAGAAAACCCAATGAATGGACCCATTCACAGAAGACATTTTAAGAAACTGAGCACTAGTGTCGTCTGAAAACACAGTCTCGGAAGAAGAAACAATGTTTTGAACTCCTGAACCGGGGTTTCGGATCTTTTAAGAAAAAAACTGCCTCATATCTTTCCCCCTCCACCTACCCGGAACACAATTAAGAGTACGCAGCTATACTTAAATACTTATAGAGCATGTTCTTACCATGAAATATGAATGGACTTTAGCCATATATCAGCGTAAAAATACTACCTCATTGATTCATCAATATGCGTAGATGCAGTGCATTTTAATGGGAAAAAGAAGAAAGTCTACGGCATCAATATCCAAATCATTCAGAAAAACAAAACAATTTCTCCGATGAGCGAAGACAAAAACGATTGCTCTTAAATAATAACCCTCTAAAGGTTGGTGGAATCAAGAGAATGAAAAATAAAT